TTTAGATGTTTCTGAGAGAATTATGTTTAAAATAACAGACAAAAGTTGAAGGAAAATAAGCAAAAAAAGACAGGAATTGAAAAACTGTTTAAATACTACAGAGAAAATGAAACTCTTAACAACCACCTGGAAGAGCTGGTCGACCCCAAAACTGCCCCATCAGATAAACAGCACTTAAAGCTCTCATCTTTGAGAGAGGAGAAATCAAGCTGCTTCAGATCTGAAAACAACATTTCTGTCCATCCTTCCACTGTGAGAAGACGACTCAGCGCTGTGGGTCTGAAAGGATGTGTAGCTGATCAAGAAGAACCTCACTGAGAAAAGGAGACGGACACATCAAACAAAGAAGCTGGACAATGGACTGACCACCCCAGAGTCCAGACCTCAACACCACTGAATGTGTTTGATTACTTCAGAAAATGATCAACCAGCTTCTAAGACTGAACTTTGGAGGTGTGTCTGCAGATTCTTTGAGGAGCTGAAAGTGAGTCTCCTGAAAAGAATGGAAGCTGGAATAAAGGGAGAGAGTGACTCACTGACTCACACAGCTGAGAGTAGAGTTAGCTGCTGAGGAGTTTTTTGTAATTGTAATTTTCTATTAAATGCATGTTTTCTGTATTTTTCCTGACACTGAAAAATTATTAACTTGTACTTAATTTACAGAACCCTCGTTTATAATGTAGCTGAGCCCATACAGAAATTGGGGATTGGAAAAATCAGATTGAAACACAGATCAAATGCAAAAAATAAAGTAATAATAATAATAATAATAGTAAATTTAATAGTAAAAATGTTCATGTGACTCCAGCGAGCAAGAGACAGAATGAAATAAATGAAGGTGGTCTCTGATTTTGCACAGCACTGTAAGTCCTGTTCCCAGTCCCAGCACTGGTGAGCCAACACTGTGCATGGAATTTGTCCTGAAACTGTCCTGTGTGTGTGTGTGTGTGTGTGTGTGTGTGTGTGATCTAGAGTAGTAGTAATGTTGAAGGGAAGCTAAAGACTGTACTGTCTGTTAATGCGATCAGTATCCAAAGGGCAGAGCTTTCTGCTCTTTCAGTTTTTAATAAAACCTACATCACATGCTCAAGTGGGGACACAAAACTGTCCTGTTGTTCTATCATTGTGAGGACATGTGGTCCTCACAAGACAAGCACATTAAAATGGCTTTTCTCACATAGTGTGTGTGTGTGTGTGTGTGTGTGTGTGCGTGTGTGTGTGTGAGATTTACTATTGTCCACATTTGTGTAATCAGGATTTCCTCTATTTCTTTCTCTTTTTTGTTTACATATTATTTTTCCCATTTGTATTGTTTGTGTTGTGTTGGGGACTCAGCCCACTTTTCCACCACTACAGGGAGCCGTTCCCCTTAGTGACGCTCACAGGAGTGTATCTGACCTCACGGCTATTTGTTCTGCTATTGGTTCATTATTATACGGTAGTTAGTTCTGACAGCACAGTCTGATTGGTTGAGACACTGAGACACAGTCCGATTGGTTATTTTTTCTGCAGTAACTGTATCATTACTCAGAGCACTACTTGCTAAGTAAAGACTGGCGTTACGCTGCAGTGAACCGCTAGAAATTTCCTACTTTAGCACATGCAGTCGCAGAAAATAGACACATTAGAGAACTTCTGTCACATTGGTCACCTACCCTGGTCTGCAGGACAGCAGATCTCCGGGGGGGGTGGGGGGTGGTGGGGGGTGTTGGTGCCCACTGTCCTATGAGGTCATTTTTGACCTGCAGCCTTGTTGGTCAGATTCTGAAGAACAGTGTGGACAGCAGGTCTAATTCCAAATCTGTTGCTGATCCTGAGCTTTTCAGTCAGACTGAAACCAGAAACATGACACAGTGACCTGTTTCTGAGTTTCTATGTTACTTTTTGTTTTATTTTGCTGAACTGTTGTATAAAAGCAACAGAAAATTTGACATCATGTTTTTAGAGATGCTTGCAGTGTTTGCCTCGTGCCTGCGACTGAATCACAGCTGATGTTATTTATGTCCTCTCGTGTTTTATTGCTCAAGGAAACAATTCAATTATGAAATTTTCAACTTCATTCAAATGTTTTGGTACAGAACACACTGAATGCACAAGTGTGACTGGAAGAGCTGTTTACACAGGGGATGTGTGAGAATCAGCTTTGGACAGATAATTCAATTTTACCATTAGATTTGACCATATTTTATTTATTTATTTTACTTCTGCAAATTTTAATGCCACTGCACCATTAAGACATTTATAGAGCAGTAACAGCACCTTATAGTCTAATATGTGAAATTCAGCAAATAAACAGAAATTGTGCACTACAGTTTCCTGAAAACTGTCATATTGAAGTTTGTTCCTTGTTGTGTTACCTTCCCTTTACTTGTGTAATTTGACCATAGTGTGTTCAAACCTTTGTATACGCCTGTAAACGTAGACACGTCCTGGAGACGGCAATGATGACCCTGTGAGCTCTGTACACTCCAGATTCCCCTCAAAAACCCCTGAGAACACTCCGGAACAACAGCAGGAGCTACACACACACACACACACACACTCACACACACACACACACACACACTCACACACACACACACACACACACACACACGTGTGCAAACAAAACAGCACACGCACAGATCAGATTTCCACCCACCTGCATAACAATCCTGTAATCTACAGCTGAGACTGTATGCGTCATCTGTGTGTGTGTGTGTGTGTGAGTGTGTGTGTGTGTGTGTGTGTGTGTGTGTTCCTTTAATTACATTCTGGTCTCTGTCTGCTTTGCTGGATTCACATTCCAAGAGCGGTTCAGATCCCTGATACTCACCGACCTGCAGATAACCCCTGAAGTTGGTGGGGGGGTATAGGGAGGACCAGCCTCTCAACTTCACTCTATCCAAGAGCTTTAATCGGGCCCTGAATAAAGCCTGAGAGTCCTCTGTCTGAGTCCGACCCGACCCCAACCAACAAGTTTTGGGTCCAAAACTGTCACAAGCTCAGCAAAATCCCGAAGCAGCTCATCCAAAGTGCAGAATAAAACCTGATATTTCTAACGACAGCACCACTTGCATCGTCTGGTATCCTGCAGATTTATTCATCAAGCTTTCAAACAGCACACCAAACGTTTTGAGTCTGGCGAAGCTTTGTTTACTGCACTGCAACTTACTTGTTATCATTTTATGTCCCATTAAATGTCTCTGAGGCGTTCTGGGACAACATGCAGTTTCTGGTGAGTGAAGCTGAAAGTACAACAAGAACAGGAATGATATGAGAAAGCACAGTGCTACAGAGGACATCCCTGCTAGGAAAACCAGCATCGACCAGCAAAAAGCTCCTCAGACCTTTACTCCACTCTCTGTAGCTCAGCTGTGACAGATCTGTGACTTTTCATGATTAAAAATGGTGAAATTAACAAACTCAAAGCAAATTAAGCCGTGATGATGTTAAATAAGACAATAATGCTAATTTTTTTACACACTTAGCAAATCATAAACGCCATAGAGGTGATACAGAGAACTCAAAAACTGTGTTTAAACGAGGGCCTCTGGGTTAAAGAGATTACAGAGTTTTAAAGGCAGCATGAGATGTGAGCCTAGCAGAGATAAACACTGTTATCAGCTGCAGACTGACCTGTGGTCAGTATAGGATGGAGGTAAATTAAAGCCTCATGCTCTCTGTCCAGTGTGTAAAATGAGGTTCTTAAATATGTGATCCAGATGTCACTCAGTTCAACAGGGTAAACAACAAGATACACTACATGACTTTTAAAGTTCTAGCAGATTAAAAAAACCTCAGTCCCAAAAAAGTTGAGCCAGTTTGTGAAGAGCAAATAAAAACAGAAAGCAGTGACTGCAGTTAAATGAAAACAACACAAAGATATTTAATGATGAAAACTCAAGTGTTTTTTTTATATATATTTTTCTCATTTTGAAATTGATGGCTGTAAAGTGTTCCAAAAAAGTTGCTTGCTTAAATGGTTTTCTGCATGTTGAAATGGTGGAGAATGTGATGTATATGGTTCCATATAGCACCGAAAAGGTTCTTCTATTGTTACAAGATTACAAGATTCTCTGGGCTCAATCTCATCTGAAATGGACAGATACTCAGTGGGAACGTGTGTTATGGTCTGACGAGTCAACCTTTCAGACTGTTTCGTGTTTTCTGAGCCAAAGAAGAAAAGTACCATTCAGATTGTTATCAGTGTAAAGTTCAAAATCCAGCTTCTGTCGTGGTGTGTGTGGGGGGGGGGCTGGGGGGGTATTAGTGGGTAACCTGCACATCTGTAAAAGCTCCATCAACACTGAACACATTTTGGAGGAATGTATGCTGCCTTTTAGACACCGTCATTTTCGATGTGTGTTACACACGTCTGTATAACCTGAGAATGCGGGTGCAGTCCAGGTCAGTCTCCCATTGAAAACATGGTGCATTATGAAGGACAAAATATGGCAACGAACAGGAGAATGGCAAAAAATTAGACGGCTCATTCATATCTTTATTCAGTTAAACTTTTTTCAAAATAAGTCCAGAAGAATAACACTTTGAGCTGCCACTGGCATAAAGGGTGCTCTATAAATAAAGACATTATTATTATTATTATTATTATTATTATTATTATTATTATTAATGGATAGTGTTATCATGTCCTCTACCCATGTATGGCCCAATCTGGGGCCCTGTTAGACAGATTGGACACTCCTGCTTTATGTTGAGTTAGCAGTTCTGTGATATGTCAGAGGAGATTTGTTCCAGATAAAAATCTTATTTGTTTTTTTTTTCCTCCAATGTCCAGTCCAGTACCTCTAACACACACTTACAAAGACACTGTGTGTTTAGAGGGAAGAGCTGATGCATCGTTTCTCTTTCATTTTTTACCCTACTGTTTCATAGAAATCACAAGAATCACTGTTTCCACTTTTATTCTGTAAATGGGTCTCCAAACAAGAGCTGAACTCTCTCTCTCTTTTACTCTCTCTCTCGCTCTCTTTTTCTCTCTCTGTCTCTCTATGCAGGACCAGCAGGCACCATGGTGCCACTCCTTCAGTAGGATGTAGAAAACAGAAGAAGAGGAGGAGAGACAGAGAGAGAGAGAGAGAGAGAGAGAGAGAGAAGACAGCGGAAAGCTAGAGAGTGTGTGAGTGAACAACAAGAACCATAGAGAGAAGAGAAAGAGAGAGACACAGAGGGAATTGGTGGCTGGTTCACTCTCCTCTCCATAATCAGAATTGATTTCACTGAACAAGTAAGATCATCACTTACACGGCATCAGTCTAATCTCACAATCACACCGTCACACTGAGACACACACTATCGCATCAACACAACAAAGGAGCAGAGATGAAAAAACATTGTCTTTGTAAATGCGTGTGCTGATGCATCCAGGAACATCAGTGCTGATGGGTCCAGAAGCATGAGCAGATGTATTTACAGACATACTACTACAGATAAAAATAGTTTTTCTTCTGGTAACTGAAGTGGGTGCAGGAGAAGATGCCTTTTTGTGTTTAAGCTTCATCTTTGTCAAATTAAAGACTGTAGCAATAGTGCAGTTCAGTAAAAGGCTGTTTTATCAGTTGGTTAGAAAAACAGTGTTTTGTTCCAGACTTCACTGCTACACCACCAGCCTTCACACTGATTTGTTCAAATCCACCACCAGCACACCTGATTTAAGTGTTGATTAGCCAGTCCAGATGTGTATATATAATAAACTTTATTTTGTTTCTCTTTTTTCTGACCTCCTCCGTGCTGCCTCCTTCCCTCTCTCTCAGCATGTGTCACGTGATCGTGACGTGCCGTTCCATGCTCTGGACTCTTCTCAGCATTGTGGCAGCCTTCAGTGAGCTGATCGCCTTCATGAGCACCGATTGGCTGGTGGGATTCCCGCGGACCCCCGACGCAGTCATCTCCTCACACGGGGCGTCGGCAGCGGGGGAGGCTTACCGCCCCACGCTGGGCCTGTATGGACGCTGCATCCGGCTGCCTCAGCTGCGGCGTGGCGTGCTGTGCGGCCCGTACGCCGTGCACTTTGGCGAGATCGCCAGCGGCTTCTGGCAGGCCGCCTCCATCTTCCTGGCCGCAGGAATCCTCCTGCTGTGCGCCGTCGCCTTCATCTCTGTCTTCACCATGTGTTTTCAGAGCATCATGAAGAAGAGTATCTTCAATGTGTGTGGACTACTGCAGGCCATCGCAGGTGAGGCACAATTACACAACTTTGGTTAAAGCGATAGTTTGTTTACACAGTTTTGCAATCAGTCTGTCACAGAGAGGTTTGGTGTCTAAAGTGTGCTTCTTCTTCTGCTGGAGCAGTGGAAGCTTCTGCCTTGCAAATTAGCAAGCTTTACTGATCCGTGACATACTTGCCTCAAACCTTGTTGAGTTTTGAGTAAAGAGGTTTCTGACACTGTATGACACTTTCAGAAATGGTCATTTGGTTTTAGTGAAGTGTGTGATGCTTTAGGCATGCACTTAGCACAGTGCTAATTGGTGGGGTACTAGCTGTCATTACATGTTAGCTACAATAACCTTGTAGCTCCAGAGCAAAACTAAAACAGCAAACTTCTGGACTGTCCAAGCCCTATCATTAGGAGATTGCAAGTTCGATCCCCGGCGATGCTACAGGGGAGAGCTGGGACTGCAAAAAGCACACTTTTCCTCTCTCTCTTCAGGTGGGCAGGATGGCCCCCTGTCTCCCTCCATCACTCAGCACAATGCTAGCCAGCGCAGGGGTCTGTTAGCTGATGTAACAGACCTGGTGGTTAGCGTTCTTCTCCCCGCACGTTTGAAAAATGTTTCACAGCACTCTGAGGAAGCCTGTGTTTGCCTTCACTCTCCTAGAGCTGGTGGTATTGTGCGATTGAGTCTTGACTAGTGGGTGGAACTGGATTTGACTAAATTGGGGAGAAAAAAGAAAAAAAATCTTAAAAAAAGAAGCAAACTCCAGACACCAAACATGTCTTGGGTGATCTACAGTACTGTGGAAAAGTCAGAGGCCGTCCTTTCATTTAATTTATGTCTGGCCAAAACAGCCATAAAGTACAAGTTATATTTTTCAGTGTTAGAAAAAAGGAAACGCATATTTAACAGAAAACGACATGGTGTGGATCAGTGGAACTGTGTTCTCTGGAGTAATGGAGCTCCTTCCAATACCTTTGGGATGAGCTGGAGTGACCCACAACTGACCATCCAACATCAGTACCTGACCTCACTAATGCTCAATCAAATCCTCACAGCAATGTTCAACATCTAGACCCTTCCCAGAAGAGTAGAGGCTGTTGCTGCAACAAAAGAGGGAGACAGACTCTCTATTAATACCCTTCATTTCAGAAGAAACGCTGGTTTGGACAGATAGTGCATGCAGGATGCTAGATAGAGAGTCTGGTGGGGAAGGAGTTCAGGGTGAGTGTGAGTGAAAGGAGGAGCGAGGGATGCTGGGAGAAGACAGAAAAGAAGAGGCTGTAACTTTGTTACTGTTTAAACATTTACCAGATCAATTAAGTGCCCACCATCAGGGTGACTGTGTGCGTGTATCAGTACCCTCTAGACCCCCACTCACTAAAGACCGATGACCTCATAGAGGTCACAGCAGTCTGGCCGGGGTCAAACGCATGGCTGTCTCTAAGGCAACGTAATCCCCATGAAAATATTTCCACTCTTGTATCGACTCCACATGGGCTCTTCAGTGTGTGTGTGTGTGTGTATGTATATGTGTATATGTGTATATGTGTGTGTGCGCGTGTGTGCGTGTGCGTGCGTGTGTGTGTGCGCGTGTGTGCGTGCGTGTGTGTGTGTGTGTGTGTATGTGTGTGCGTGCGTGTGTGCGTGTGTGCGTGTGCGCGTGTGTGTGTGTGTGTGTATGTGTGTGCGTGCGTGTGTGCGTGTGTGCATGTGTGCGTGTGCGCGTGTGTGTGCATGTGTGCGTGTGCGCGTGTGTGTGCGTGTGTGCGTGTGTGTGCGTGTGTGTGTGTGTGTGTGTATGTGTGTGCGTGCGTGTGTGCGTGTGTGTGTGCGCGTGTGTGCGTGTGCGTGTGTATGTGTGTGCGTGCGTGTGTGCGTGTGCGTGTGTGCGCGTGTGTGTGTGTGTGTGTGTGTGTATGTGTGTGCGTGCGTGTGTGCGTGTGTGCATGTGTGCGTGTGCGCGTGTGTGTGCGTGTGTGTGTGTGAGCGAGAGAGGCTGTGGGGGAGGCGGTCACATGAGGAGGTGAGCTCATTTTGGCTGAATGGCTTTTCCCTCTTTTTCTCCACAATGTTCCACCAAACTCAGACCACTGAGGGCCGTCAGGAGGGGGAGGGAAGTTTAACCCCTTACACTCCTACAGCATTTGTGTGTGGATATAAATATAGTTACTCAGTAGATACTGAATAATTGACAGATCATTAATAATATATATGGAATTATTTTTTGTTGATATTGAATATTTTCTGTCAGTTACTGAAAAACTCATAGGACTTACTGAATCATTCTTTGTGATGACTGAATAATTTATAGTAGTTACTGTATAATTCACAGTCGATATGGAGTACTTCGTAATATATACTGAACAATTTGTAGTAGATACCGAATAATTTATAGTCAATACTGAATAATTAATAGAAGATGCTGAGTAATTCATAGTGGATACTGAATAATTTGTAGTACTAAGTGAATATTATATAGTTACCAGTGGTGGACAGTAACAAAGTAAATGTAATTGGTTTTTGTACTTAAGTAGTTTTTTAGTGTTTCTGTACTTCACTGAAGTTTTTCCATTTGGGGACTTTTTACTTTCACTCCACTACATTTCAAAGTCAAATATCTCACTTTTTACTCCACCACATTATGAGAAATCTGTCGCTCCTTTTGGTTTATGTGTGTATAAAAACATAACATCTCAAAACCAAAAAAGCGCAAAGTAAGAACACCAATCAGGGCACAGCGGTCACTTTGTTTTGAGCTTGTTTTGACCTGTTGGTCATACCAACCCAGTGCAGCACACGGTTCAACATCAGTGCAGCAGTGTAAAATTTTGGGAGAGTCTATTCAACATAAATGATGGACTAACCTAACTTTGTGTAAACAGACCACAATATAGAAATATGTACTCATATGCAGTTGAGACTGACGGGTCTTTATTCTGAATTTATACAAACACGATTTGATTTTATAGTAAATTAGTTTAGTCTAGTTTATGTTTATGAACAGAGACCTACAGATGCAGTTTAGTAAAGGAAACTCATTTGAGAATCTGAGTTTAAAGTTTTTATTAAACTTAAACTTGTAAATAAATCTTAAACTGAAACTTTGCTTGTTTGTAAAAAGTGATTTCAGAGCCACTCAGTTCTACCTGATGGAAACTGTTTGCCTTCAGTGTTTTGTGTTATGATAATTTTAATAAACATCAGCATCACTAATTAATGACCTTCTATTAAAAGACTGGTTTACCAAGAGAGACACTGGAGTATTTTCACCTAAAATGAGTTAATGAAGCGAGTCTTGTTATAAAAATGATAATAGGACATTAAAGTCATGATTAATCTTTTAGTATTTTTACTTTCGATACTTAAGTACATTTGAGGGCAAATACTTTTGTACTTTTACTCAAGTGGAGGTCTAAAGGGAGGAACTTCTACTTTTACTGGAGTAATATTTTACCTTGGGTATCTCTGCTTTAACTCAGGTACATGATTTGTGTACTTCGTCCACCTCTGCTAGTTACTGAATAATAATCTAAGGCTAAGAATTTATATCTTAGATCCATTTTAGCTGATAACTCCAGCATCTTGCATGAATACACTACTTTTTCATCTGTTAATATGACCTTACTAGCTGTCATTTAAGTGTTTTTTAGAATCTAGCATTTTAAATTTCAATTTAATACCACTTCCTGTTATTAATCATGTAGTCACGCCATCACCTTTTTGTGGAGTCCCAGGGCAGTAATGTTGTTTAAATGATTTATCACCTGTGACAGCCACCTAGCAGTAGTACTGTAATTTAGCTAATGCTAACAGAGTTTGAAAATGTGTGGGTCAAATAGTAATACAACTACTAATAACAAATACTCATTAAAACCTGCAGCTTGTAATTGAAAGTCATTTTAATCCGATCTCTCACACGGATTCAACCCTGACTTCTGTGACTCAATGATCTGTGTTTGCTGAGTTGTTTGTTTTCGTGGCTACGCTGCTGTCAGTCACCATGTGGTCTGAAATGCCCACACAGTCCTAAACAGGCAGAGCTTCCTACCTTTTAACTCTTGTCCTGTTCATCTTTGCTTTAGTTTCTTTCTCTCGTGCCTTTGTTTTCTTCATGCTTACCTCCTTGTCTCTCTCTCTCTCTCTCTCTCTCTCTCTCTCTCTCTATCTGTTCTGGTTTATGAAAAACTACACAGAAACCACAATAGAGAACACCGCCTGTGCCACTCTTCAGTTAATCAAAACCATTCTGCAGCCTGTTAACAAACAGTAGCTGTGTCTGTGTGAGATCATGTAACCTACAACAGCTGCCACAGTGTCAGTGTTTCTTATTAACCCCTGAGTGTGGATTGTGACCGGTCTGCTTTAACTCGCCCTTTAAGCCCAGCTCTACTGAATGATGTCATTACCACTGCAAGTCACTGCAAAATGTATATCGTTGATTGTGAATACATGTCAGCATGGGTTTATATTCAAAACATGCTGTATGATGATCCACACAGTCATTCTGACAGACTGTAATACACTACAGGAAGTGTAGGGGGCGATATGGCTTCTACTGTTTCATTATATGATCCACACAGTCACTCTGACAGACTGTAATACACTACAGGAAGTGTAGGGGGCGATATGGCTTCTACTGTTTCATTATATGATCCACACAGTCACTCTGACAGACTGTAATACACTACAGGAAGTGTAGGGGGCGATATGGCTTCTACTGTTTCATTTAAAAAGCTCTATAATGTTCATATGATCCACACAGTCACTCTGACAGACTGTAATACACTACAGGAAGTGTAGGGGGCGATATGGCTTCTACTGTTTCATTTAAAAAGCTCTATAATGTTCATATGATCCACACAGTCACTCTGACAGACTGTAATACACTACAGAAAGTGTAGGGGGCGATATGGCTTCTACTGTTTCATTTAAAAAGCTCTATAATGTTCATTTGATCCTCACAGTCATTCTAACAGGCGCTCTCTCATGGATCAGGGGCTCTATACCGGTTGTAGGAGGTCTATGATGGTTCTGGGGGGTCTCTGACAGATCTGGGGCAATTTGTGACGGATCTGGGATAGTCTCTGATGAATTGGGCGGTCTCTAATAGATCTAGGGGGGTCTCTGATGGATCTAGGGGGTCTCTGATGGATTTGGAGGGTTTCTGTAAGGCAGCCTTAGAAAAGTCCTGTGATGCTGTTCACTTCACTGACTATAAAGGAAGAGATACAGTCCAAAACTCACAGCAGTGTCCAATCATCCAGCAGGGTGTTAGTGTTGATGTTGGTTCGGAGAGTGTGTTTTCCAAGGTGTGTGTGTGTGTTCCTTATTTTTCTTTACCCCAGTTTCTGATAACACCAGATGTGCAATCCAGTAATGGAAAGCTTTGTCCCTGTTCTGAAACATGTAGCACACACACACACACACACACACACACACAAAGGACCGGCAGGGCTAAATCCACAAATGTAGGATGCTAGAACCTTATTATTTCTGTTGGTCAGATTCAGTGTCCCTGATTTACAGCACATCACCTCTTATGTAACTAAATGTCTTTCACAGCCCTCAGACCACTTTTACAAGTACTGGAAAATCCTACACGTCCTTATGTTGACCTTGGATAGTGTATTACCAGAGAAACTTTGGATGGAAAGAAATATTAATCTGGCCATGGTGTAGAATGATTTGAGACTCTTTACTGAACTTGTTTTAAGTTTAGCACTGGAGCTACGAGGCTAGTTTAGTCAACTGCCTGTCACAGCAGCCATAAAATGCCATTTCCGCCAGATTTTGAGGGCCCGCATTTAAACAGTGCATTTTGATGGAATTTTGATGGAAATGTGTGATTAACAAAACCAAAAGCAAACCGAATTTTCAACATATGTGTTTGCCAGTGTCTTTATTGAGTTTAAATGCTGTTTTTATTGTGGTAGTGGTACATGATTATTTGATATATAGAAAGCTGCAGTTGCGCTGTTCAGAATGGTCACCATTTTTGGGGAGGTGTGAATTGTTTTCACAGCAGGGGGTTCTAACCCCTCCCCCTTTGCCCTCATTGCTTGCTAGCAATTCTATTTGATTATATTAATTAAAATAAAATCATCAATTTCCGTTCCACCATGACCGCTGCAGAAAGAGGCTATAGCCCCAGGGAACCTAAATCTGTGTTTTCTCTCTAATTTGATTAATATCACTTATTCTCGCAGTATACATATACAAAACATGTCCTATGAATAATGTTCCAACGTTCATTAAACGACAGATGTATTATTCCAAATTTCTCTCTTTTTGGTTTAAACGGATGATATTGGACCAAACATCAAGCTTTTCCCAATATTATTAAAGCCTTGTTTACACCAAAAGTCTTTTCCAGTCTGAGCAACTTAGTGCCTAAAAGCTAACAACCAGACGAAAGCTAACCTAGCCAGCATAGCCCTAGCAAGCTGCCTTCATTGTCCGTATCTCTGCCAGTCTGTCATTAGTTTGTTTTTCCCATCATCATACAACTGGCCTTTCTAACGTTCCATGTATGTGCATTGTATCCAGCAGTAAAGTAAATAAGAACCTGACTAACAATCACTTTTTGTGTCATACAGATATTTTTCATATTTAGTGCCATGTTCCCTAAGCATATACCCCATCCGTTAGCATGGTGCTAAATATATGCCTGAATCATCACACACTTGTGTCGTTGATAAGTCATCTATGACAGACTTGATTATGTGCTTTCTGACAGTTAATGACTCAGTGTTCTTTATAAACAACAGACAGACAGAATTCTGCCTTCAGGACGACAAAACAAATGAAGCAGACTTCAGTGCAGCGTTCAGGATAATGTGGACGCTGGGTTTTTTTGTCAAGCTATTCCTTTAACCAGAAGGAAAACCAGTGTTGCTCTGAGATTGGTGGCGTATGGCGATGTCCCTCAGCGCCCACACAGCTGACCTCTGACTGGACGTACAGGGCCGTGGTGACTCACAGCTGGAGTTTGGCTCTGAAAGTCGGGTGTGTCCAAATAAACCTCGGCCTGATTCACCCGAGCTGTGATTTCATCAATGATTCACTGCAGCACAGCTGTGTGTGTGTGTGAGAGAGAGAGAGAGAGAGAGAGAGAGAGAGAGAGAGAGAGAGAGAGAGAGATGGTGATGAATTGTAAAGTGACTCTCAGTCAGTGTTTTCATTGGACTGATGGGGTGCAGGAGGCTGAAAAAAAACTGTTAGCAGGATGAAACTTCTAGAAAAGAAGTGTGTGAGTGAGATAGAGAGAGAGAATCTGGAGAGATAGATTTACACTAGCATATGAATATAAACTCTTTGGATCCAATAGCACTTTAGTGTAATTATGAATAAATATAAGTAAATATAAACCAAAATACACTATATGGCCAAAAGTATGTAGACACCTGACGGTCACACCTATATGAGCTTGTTGAGGTCCAATTCCAAACCCATGGTCATTAATATGGAGTCGCCCCCTTTGCGGCTCTAACAGCCTTCACTCTTCTGGAAAGCTTTCCAGTCTGTGCCCTTTCAGTCTAAAGAGCATTCGTGAGGTCAGACACTGATGTTGGATGAGAGGGTCTGGCTCACAATCTCTGTTCTAGTTCATCCCAAAGGTGCTCAGTGATGTTGAGGTCAGGGCTCTGTGAAGGCCACTGGAGTTCCTCCACACCAAACTTGTCACACCATGTCTTCTTCTGCACATTTATACACAATTAATTTAACATACTAACAAATAACAAATAAATAAATTAACAAATAAAACAAAATGTGGCCTGTGCAAAAGTTATGGCACTCTTTGTTTGTTTGTTGTTTTATTTTCCAATATGTTAAAATGAGTAAATTAACAGCAATTGTGTATTAAAATGTGCAGAAGTGCGTTCACTGTAGAGAATATGTAATGTAATGTTATGTAAAAATACATTGAGGAGAAAACTTCATTTTCAATATAACTAAATAAAAAAAACAAAAAGCATAGGCCAGTTGTAGCTGTAGATAGAAAGTGAAATATGAACTAAGTAAAAACAAAAAATTAATAAAAAATAATACCTTAAGAGTGAGTTAAACAACAAAGTGAAAAAGTAACGACGGGGCAGTACTTCCAGAGCGTTACCTCCATAAACGTTCCTCTGTAGCTCCTCAGACTGCAGGCGTGTACCGTGTGTGTTTGGGTGTGCTGGAACGTGTGTGCGTGTGAGTCTGAAGGGTCAGTAAACTGTTGAAGTGGACCGTTGCTCCACAGGAAGTGGCCCCCTGTGCATCCTTTGAGACGCAGGAAGTGATGCGAATGGTCATTGAGGGGGAAAGCCCCTCTGGGTACCTCTTCCTGTTGTTACGGGATGGTTGCTCTCAGGGTCAGTTGGCTGCAGGGCGCGAGGGGGGTGGTCAGCGCTCATTGCTGTCAGGAGACACATTAGGTCAGCGTTCGGTTTGTTAGGGCAGCTAATGTCCGTTTCGGTTACATGAGGATCATTACGGAACACAGCAGTACAGCATTAGCAGTGTGAATTGCTGGTGGCTCAATTCTGCGATATTCATGCGATACTGAGTGATGCTGTTGGTCTGTTGTGATTTTTGCTCTTCTGACTTCTGATTGGCCGGGTCTGTGACATTGCTAAATGTTGCTTTTTTATGTCTGACTGGAAATTATTCATCTAAATGAAAACTTTCTGTGTTTTAAATAAAGTCTACACCTTTGTTCATCTCACTTTAGTCTTTTTATAGACACTAAACTTTAACTGCTGTAATCTCTCTACTCCTACTGCTCTGTAGGAACTCTATCTGGACGCTGCATTACGTGTGTGTAGGGCATGTAGAGTATCCTGTAATGTTATTATTGGTAATTTAATATTTATGTCTCTGTCTGCAGGTCTGTTTCTGATCCTGGGGCTGATGCTGTACCCTGCTGGTTGGGGTTCGGATAAGGTGCAGCTGTACTGCGGCCCGGACGCCTCTCCCTATAAGCTGGGGCTGTGCTCCATGGGCTGGGCCTTCTACACAGCACTGGGAGGCACCGTCCTCACCTTCATCTGCGCCGTCTTCTCCGCGCAGGCTGAGATCGCCACCTCCAGTGACAAAGTGCAGGAGGAGATTGAGGAAGGCAAGAGCCTCATTTGCCTGCTCTGAGGCCCAAATGAGAAAATGACAGAAGAGAGTGAGTGAGAGCTTCTCCAGTGTGGCCTTACTGTGAGCCATGAATGAATAAAGGATGAAGTTCCCCCCCGGGACGACCCCCTACCCCAAAACCTGTTTTCTCCTTAATCGGACAGTGCCCTCTTAGACCTTTTTGTGTTCTAATGTGGGAGAAATATGCTGTGCCAAAGCTTCTTGTGTTGTTTTTCTTTTCTATTCGAGTTCTTTTTTTTGCCTTGATGTTTTATTTTCCAGGACTGACTGTCCTCTGAATGCTAAAATGAATTGTAAATATGTGTGTATATATTGTACATAATGATGATGATGATGATGATGATGATTGATTGCGTTAAGATGAAGAGGAACATCTCAGTTTGAGCTTAGCGTTGGTTTGAGAACTGATGCTCTTTAGCATATAACGGTGCTGAAACTTTGGAACCACTATCTCAGAGAAAAGAGCTCTTCTTTGGCCCCCCGATTGACTAGAATACTGTGTTCAGAAAAGCTGTACCTCTCAGCAGCGGCCTTTTCTGCTGTGGCTGGAATTGATTTTTTTTTACAGATTCCAACCAGCAACAAAGACTTTCCCATTTTTTTCTGGTCCTGGGTCAGTTCATCCCTCCGGACACAACTAAAGCACTACTGGAGCTGGTGTGGTTTTGCTAGGGGAGGCTGGGTAACATACAAAGAGCTGTTGGTGTCTATTAGCAGGTTTCAGCTAGTGTGAAGTGGACTATAACAGGACTACTATTGCAGAGGTAGCTCTGGTTGAGCCAACTAAAGAAGTTCTCCCAGCTTACACACTGGCTCCAGAGCCGTTTGTGTGTGTGTGTGTGTGTGTGTGTGTGTGTGTGTGTGTGTGTTTGTGTGTGCGCTTGTGTGTGAGTGTGTGCTATAGTCCACTACCACAATAATCACCAGCCATATCACCTTCACTCTCTGCCAAATAAATAAACCTGACCGAACTGTGCCTGCTGTCCACTGCCTGCTTTTTCTTTTCAAGGCTCCCAGGAGAGCTGAAAAAACAGTTAATCTACACAGTCAATAAAATGGGTTATCAAGCTCCATGTTTCATTTTTAAAACTTTAAGAGCAAAACTATTTTGTTTTGGTTCCTGTTAAAATTAGAGTTAGATTTAGAAAATACATTATTATCATATAAGTGCTTACATTTTGTCGCTGTCGCACATAAACCATGTATCCCCATTTGAAGTGTGTTCAGATTTTATGATAAATGGACTAACAGAAATGGGCCAAAATTACCTGGAAAAAAATCGTTCCATTAATTTTTTTTTAAGGATAATTTTGTTGTCTTCTTCTGTAAAGTTACTATTTTGGACATTTTATATATATATATATATATATATATATATATATATATATATATATATATATCTCTGTCAAAGTCGTTGCTTAGCAACGGCGTCTCAGCGGAGTGATAGTGTTTGTGAAAAACCTGTGATGTTCCGGTGAAATAACAGCACAGTTAGAACGCTTCTCAACCAATCAGCTCGCCTGGCCCGAACTATATATATATATATATGCAATTTTGCTGATGTAATGTACTTTATTTGTGTGCAACCACTTACTACATATAATGAATATGGGACATTATTATTTTTACTCATAGGCTATTGGCAAAGAAAAAAAAATATGTCATGATGTTTAATTTAGGGGAAAGAAAAGTAAAGGAATTATGGATAAATACATGTAAATGATTAATTATTTAAAATGGATAATGTGATCACTTTGCACTGCTTTCATTTTTATCATTATAAAGTAAAAATATTTCTGCGTTCTTTAAATAATAGTTGTCAGTGTTGTCTTACAGAGATCTTTTTTGTGATATTACATGCAAGTTGTCCTCCTTCGGGTTTAGAGTGGTCAGCTGCGCTCTTTTGCTTCTACTCTTACTCTACATGACTGTGTCCTTGAGTTCCAGCTATTTGACACAGAGGAACAATATACATTAATAAGATGCTTTGTTTTTTTGAATCTTTTTCCACAGCCACGGTACATTTAGAAAGTGGACCCAGCAAAAACACACTCTGCAACTATCCAAAATCCACCTGCACTGTACTTTTAAACCAGCTGGAAAGCTGCAAAAATCCAACCCTGCATGATGGAGAGAGAACCCAGAAGTGAAATACGTGTATGGATCCATAAGACGCCACCTTTACGTCAGACTTAATATCTATTTCACACACATCCACTACATCCATTTTTTCAGAAAATATGAGTTACAGTTTCTAGACTATGAATGATCAACAGGGTGAACTAAATTGCTACAGCGATAAGCATATCTTTGTCTAGTCTTATGCTAAAAGATGTGTGTAAATTCTTCAGAGCCTGGTACGCTGGAGATTTGGGTTCAAATTTGTAAAGCTAGTATTTTTGGCTGTGCCTAAACACATGATTACACTGTCGGTCTTAATAAGAGTGTCTGCAACAAGCTGCAAATTAAGTTTAATTCACATTCAGGTTGCCGTTTTCCGTCGAGCCCCTGTCCCTCAAATATCCATGCATGGGCCTGCTCTCTCCTATAGCACATCTCCCTGGCCAAAATCTCATCACCACTCAGAATGACCTCACCCTCTCTAATTCCCATGTGTATGTGTCTGTATGTGTGAATGTGTGTGTCACTGAAGGAGAGAGAGGGTCCAAGCATGACTCACATCCTGTGTCAATCACTGTGAACAGAGACGTAACGACAAAAACGGCATTAAGGAGAAAAACAGATTCAGAGAGAGGTAGCGAGCGAGTGAGAGACCAAGAAAAAGAGAGAGACGGACAAAAAAGGACAGAGAGATAGAAAGAGAGATTATTCCCAGATTGGATAGTGTATGAGGTTGTTGTTTTGTTATGTTTCAAAACTGAAAAGTAAAAACTAAGCTCCACTTCAGCTGGACTGATGACCTCACCTGGATACCCTTGGCCTCTCGCTGTGGCCTTTAAGAGTGACCAGCATGTACCATCCCAAAATGCCTCCAGCACAAGCTGACCTGTGAGGAGTGTAACACAGGCCTCTTGACACAGAGGGGGCAGTATAGAGCTCTATATGTGGAATTAGAGAGAGGCAAACTGACAATACAATTAACCATATTTACTGGGCCTGTGCTCTTTATACAATCTGGAAATCATCTCTGTCTCTCTCATTCTCAATTTCTCTCTATCTGTCTCTCTCTCTCTCTCTCTCTCTCTCTCTCTCTCTCTCTCTCTCTCTCGTTCTTGTTTATGCAGTAGTAGTTAAACTGTACTAAAGGCTGACACTCTGACTACAAGCACTATTCAGTTCATTTCTCAGTGTCAGAGCACACCATGTAGCATTTTGCCATTACTACATTAAATAAAGCCATATTAGGAGCACAGAAAGCCACAGTAGATGATATGCGGCTTAAGGTTTACACAAAAAAAAGACGCCAGTCTTTAAGATAAACAGACCGATGCTAATGGGAAGTTACCTCAGCTAATGTTAGTAGTCTCGTATCTTTCAGCCAGTCTGTGGAGAGGTAAGTTAGTAAACTGCTGCCAAGTGTGAGAAGTGATGCTGAACGGTTTATTTCATTCAGTTGAATTAAATAGAGTGTAAAAATGAACTTGAACCTGGCGTTTATCGGCTCTCCCTGCCAGCATTTAATAGCAGCGCTCTGCTACGTGACACTACGCAACACTGCATAACGCTGTGCATTCAGTGTTCAGTGGCCTTCAGATGTATGAATAAAACAAGTCCTTATTCTTGTAAGATTTTATTCTTATTCATTCTTATAATTATTATACTTTTTGTACTGTTTTCCTAAGTGGCGGTTTCAATCTAGAACCATGAAACTTTAAAAGATCATAGACCCTTCGGCAAATAGACAGCTGAAAAGATCATCAGGGTCTCTCTTCCTTCCATCATGGACTCTTACACCACATGTTGCTTCCAAAAAGCCACCAGCATTATAGACGACACCACACATCCTTCACTGTTCTTTCTGCTGCCATCCAGAAGAAGGTACTGCAGCATTCAGGCTCTCACAGCCAGACTGTGCAACACAAGCCATCAGATTCCTCAACTCCTACGGACTGAACTGATGGACACTCGCACACACATATACACTACAATAAGACCCCATCCCACTCAGAAATTCCAGATTATGTCTGTGAAACTGTATTTAAATATAATTATTGCATTACATACTGAAATACTTCACTTTATACAATTCATATCTGACTACTTGCATTTTTGCATATTTTATTTCTTCAACAATATCGACTGCTTGAATACTGTATCAACCAAATGCTGTGTTCCATTGCTGTTCTGGTTGCTACCTCAGTGACTGCTATGCTCATATATGCTAGGCTATCTGTCATAGTATGTTACATCCTGCTTTGCACATGTGTACTGTCTGTGCCCTGTATCATATTTATTGTAAGTCTCTCATGTTGCAGTCTGCACTGTGTATACTGTATTGTTTTGCACTTGTGTTCCTGTGTTGTACCATGGAGGAATGCTGTTTCGTTTCACTGTGTACTTATATAGCTGAAAGGACAATAAAGTCTCTTGACTTGACTAAAAAATAAGCAGGAATAGGGAGCTTGTGCTTTTGGGACTAATTGCACTTACAATTTTCTTTTTTCCCATATTAAGTGAATGGAACAGTGGTGAGACTGTCTAAATTTATCTACCACAAATGATGTCACAAAGGACACCTCTCCCATCATAGATATTATTATGAAGACTAACACACATACTGGCACACATACATACTCACATATTAGCAACCACCTGCGATAACATAGTAACTACCTAGCAACTCCTTAGCAACCACCTGGCATAGCATAGCAATGGCCTAGCAATACCTTAGCAACCACATGTGACACTATAGCAATGCTCTAGCAACACCTCAGGATTACAGCAACAGCCTAGCAATAACTTAGCAACCACCTGGGAGACCCTAGCAACGGCCTATGAAAACTTTAGCAACCACCTGGGATATCATAGCAACAGCCTAGCGACAGCTTAGCAATCACCTGGGATACCATAGTGATGTCCAAGCAGCACCTTAATGACCTGGGATACTATTGCAAAGACCTAGCAACATCTTAGCCACTACCTGAGATGCCACAGCAATTGCCTAGCAGCACCTTAGCAACCACCTGGGATTCCATAGGAATAGCTTTATCAAGTCAACTTAAAGCATTCACAAACTTTGCTCTTCTAGTTTAGTGTAACTATTTTTAAGTTTAGATTGAGATGTATAATGCAAGGCCTGTGGAATAGAAACTAAAAGCAGGCTATCTGCATGCATTATTACATAAATGGCCTCCACAGTATGAAAGCACAGCAGTGGTTAGTGAGGACTGAGCTATATTGTCATTACAAAGAAGTCAATGACTTCCAAAGCTAACTGTTTGTCATTTTGAGATTGTGTCGCTAAAATCTGTTCAGAGCAAAAGTGAAAGCGTGGTAGAAGTCCAGTTCTGAACCTAAAAGAAACACAGATAACAACAGGCCTAGTACTGGGCTTAATCATTTCAACCAATGTAATTATCTCCTGCTGAATATTCTAATCGATTCTGAATATACTTTTTTCCCAACTTTATGAACTCTTTGAGTCACAGCTTGGATCACCATATCTCAGTTTGGCTGCTTTTGTAGATAGACAACCACACGAGACGAAGCAGAAAACAAACTCAGTAAAATTATTACATTAAAAGATGTCCAAATGTGGGTCATGCAGTACAGCACACACACAGCCTCCTCACTGCATGCCTTCAGTCTGATCATTTGCTCTGTTTTAGGACTGGAACGGGTAAATAAATGTATCTGGCCTCAATTAGAGGAGGACATTGTGGCGACCACACACACACACACACACACACACAGAGTAAGTAAACACTGCATGTGTGGTAACACTGGTGTGGAGAGTAAAAGGGAGATTAAAGGAGGCAGATGAAAAGAAGGGCATATCTAGGATTTTTTAAATTA